AATGTTCACCTTTAAGTTGTCATGCACAAACACAGGTGTGTGTGTGTCCCATGCCAGTTTTTAAAATGTGTTTGAATTAGTTGTCAACTGTCTCAGAGATTTACATGTTTAGAACTCTGTGTCTCCAGCTTCCCCTTCCCGGGTTGGGGTCCTAGTATGTGCTGAGGAAGCCTTCGGGAGGGATGTAACTGGTGTACACAAAGATGCGAGTGTTCACTCATCCCTGGGGATTGCATCTCCAAAGTGAGGCCTTCTTTTCAGAATCACCATTTTGGTCTCAGTTCTGTGAAAGTGACTCCAGTTTGGGGAAACAGTTCTTTGAAAAAGCCAGAAAGACCTGCATGGTCCTCAGGCTTTGTCACTGACTATGTGAAACACACTCGGAGCCTGTGTATATTTACCCATCAGAAGAGCTCTGCTATCCCTTCCAGCTGGAATGCTGATGAGTTTTTGGAGTCCAAGCTGTTGTCTGGAATGCTATTCGTTCCCGTGATTTTATGAAGAATGCATATAGTGTACATGGTGTTTCTTTCAAGTTTATATTTAGCAGCATTTTAAAAAGGAACGTGCTGGCCAACTCTCAATAGCACTCAGGGCACTGTGAGAGCCCCTGGTTTCCTATTCCTGCTAGAAACACTAAGAGCCCCTTCAGCACAGCAGTTCACAGGGGATGGCAGGGTCAAGGCCAGAAGCCATGGTTTCTGACTCCTAGCACCGCTGGACAGCAGCACACACTGCTTTCATGGCTACAGGGGATTTACCTGAACATGAATGTCTCTTTCAGGGTTGGGTAGAAAAGGCACCTAGCACCGTCTTGCACACGGCAGGTCAGGGGTAAATGTTCAACTGATTTATTCAGAGAGCTAGATATTTGCTATTCTGGGAACATAGCTCTAGGAAACTGGTTTTGGTTTTCTTTTTTATTCCAGACATCTCTGAGATATCTCTCACAAGTCAGAATTATATGATTACGAAAACCATACTGAAGCTCAGACAGACATTCATTAAAAAAGTGTTATTTTTTCCCCCTTCTCATTTCTTTTTTTAAAAATGTTTTTATTGATTTCAGAGAGAGGAAGGGAGAGGGAGAAAGAGAGAGAAACATCAATGATGAGAGTCATTGATTGGCTCCACAACCTGGGCATGTGCCCTGACTGAGAATTAAACAGTGACCTCCTGGTTCATAGGTCCACACTCAACCACTGAGCCACGCCAGCCAGGCCCCCTTCTCATTTCTACAAAGACAAATTGTGGACAATGTTTGATTTCTTGGGAAAGGTGGTTATGTATGTAGTTCACTTTTTGCATCTATTTACTGGGGATGAAGCTTTCCTGTGCTCCCCTCTTCCCTGAAGAACCACTGCTCTTACTCAGGGTTGCAGAGACCAATTTGCAGGAAACATCTGGCTGCAGTTGACCTCTGCCTCCATTCCCCCTTCTGAACTTTGAAATAACAACTCTGGGAATTTTACTTAGGTTGAATGTCAGATGACCAGTGGAGAGGGGTCTCATCAGAAGCTGGCTGGTTTTGCTGGTTACAGTGTGATCAAGCAGTTAAAAGCTCTGAGAGCCACTTACAGCTTTCCCACCTTTGAATACACTAAACCAAGAGCAAGTGAGAGAGGAGGAAGCAATATGCCCTTGGATCATTAAAAATGGATTCAGAACATCATGCTAAGTGAAATAGGCCAGACAGAAAAAGTTAAGAACCATATGATTTCACAGAAAAAGTGAAGAACCATATGATTTCACTCACATGTGGGATGTAAAACTGAAAGCAACAAATGAGCCAATAAGACAAAAAAAATTCATAGACACACACAACAGCATGGTGGTTACCAGAGGGAAGGGCATGAGGGGTGGTAAAAGGTAAAGGGGGTCAATATATGGTGACAAAAAAAGATTTGACTTTGGGTAGTGGGCACACAATACAATATACGGGTGATGTATCATAGAAGTGTACGTTGAAACCTATATGATATTGTCACCCTGATAAATTTAATTTAAAAAATAAAATATACTTCATAAATGTATTCGGAACAACACTGGCCCTTTCCTTTGTCCCCAGCACTTATTTTCTGAGCTACAAATCAGCTGCTGTGACAACATACAAAGCAACTCTGCATCCCTTCCTCTGTGCTTACGGCTTTGCTAGCTCAGCCACTGGTCATGATCCATCCCTTTGCAAACTTATGTTCTGTATGTGGAAACACATTATTTGAGACCCTTTCTCCCCAGCCTCTGACTCCCAGAAGAGAGGTGGTTTTAAAATAGGACAGTTTCAATTTTGTTTTCTTCTACCTTTATTACATTTTTGCATTTGATACAAACCACTCTCTTATACCACACAAAATACATCCATTCTTGTGATTTTAATTAAAGTGCATTTCCCTTTTCACGTTGTGTACAAAAATATTTATTTTTTAAAATGTGGACATTTCTTGACAAGGCACTTTTAGGCATCAAATGAAGCTGAGTTTTTAGTTCAACATTCACATTTCACAAAGTGAAACAACATTATCACAGCTGCATTCTTGGAGTTCCCCCCTGGCCCCGGCAGTCTCTAGGAACTGATAACAAAACTGTGAAACATTCACAGCTTTATAACCTGGGCTGCAATGTTTTCCAACCATACTGAGAAAAGCCGCCCAGAACCACAGCTACCTTTCCTCACCTCAGGTGTGTCTCACTTCAGGAAGTGAGGATAGCTGCCAAATTGTCTTCGGATGACCCTGTAAGATCCCATTTTATGTTTCACTCTTCCCAATTTCAGTGATCACATCCGAAGAGAATAGTAGATTGGGACCTCCCAGAGCAAAGAGCCAAGAGGCCTGCTCTGGCAAACCACATCCGGTCGAGGGATTTTAAAACAGGAAACAAGCGGAAAACAACCAAGGTTTTCATTCACTGTCCATTAAGAGCCAGAAAATGGGCATTTCAAAAATCAAAGTGAGCAAACAATCACTTTTTGGACATATATGTATATATATATATATATATATCCCATTTAACATCCAAGTAATGCTTGTTTTTAAAAAGCAAATTATATGCAAAGATCAAAACCACAAATTCATTTAGCAGTTCAAAGTTTACATCTTTAAAAAACATTGACAGAGTAATGTTTTGCCACCATTAAAATTAAATCTTAGAGAACAAGTAAATTCTACCTTGATTCTGAAATTTTAATTTCCAGAGAACTATAACTCCATTATTTCTCACCAGCTCCCCTATAACGAGACTATTAAGAAGAGAGAGAGAGAAACCCACTCAAATGCTTCATCTCTTCCAGGAAACACTGAAAGCTTGTTTATTATATCTTTATATAGTCCAGCTTATTTATTGCACCTAATTTGTAAAGACTCCCCAGGGCATTTGGGGGAATAAATATGAAACAAAAATGGAGCTGCTTCCCCATTCCTGGACCACCGCCCCAGTAGCAGGAGGCTGGGCCTTCTGGGGTAACTAGGAAAGGGGGCCGTTTGTCATCATAACCAGGAGTTGTCTGAGGGCCAAGCCTACAAGGTCAGGCTGCAAGAAGTCTAAAACCTAGAAGCCCGCCCCTCTCTGAAGTGTGTAGACCTGTCTGCTGATGGAGAGCCATGGAGGGGTTCCACTGAGCAGTTCCTGAGCTATCTGAAATATTCTGGGACACAACTGGACAGAAGGAGAAAGGCTTGGTAAAGAGGAGACAGTATTCTTCAGATGCTACTACCTCACTGAATGGCAATGCTGACAGGGAAGCTAGGCAACCAGATTCCTTAGTCAGAGGAGGGTCTTTGCAAGCGGGTGAGGACTTGCCTGGTGGGGTGAGTGTCCCAGGTGCGCTGGCTGGGTCTTGCAACCAGAGCAGCCAAAGAAAAGAGCGGGGCCG